AACTACTGACCAATTGGAGTCACACATGAGGTCTGTATAAAAATGTATAAAACTGTATAAAAATGAATTATGTGAATAAATAAGTGTAAGAGCCTAAATGAGAGATGTGAGACTCCAGGCAGCTCTCTAAAATGCAGTTTATTCTATCTAAGATGTTTACAGCAGTCCAGGGTTGTGGGTGACAGAGCTGTGCCCACAGCTGTCAGCTCCTGCTGCAGGCAGGCCTGGAGACCCTTTGGTTTTGGTTACATTGCATTATATATTTTCTTTGGTTACATTGCATGATATACTTTTCTTTTGGTTACATTGCATTATATACTTCTCTTTTGGTTACAATTCATTATATACTTTTCTTTGCTGAGCATCTTAATACAGTAGAACCAATCTATACCTTAACTATTATCTATAGCCTATCATAACTACTGCAATTACCATATTCATGTTTCTCTTCTCCAAGCACTAAAAGTTAGTACACTACAGTTTAAGCTAGAAGTTGTTTTTCAGTTTTCTTGCAGTAGAAAATTCTGAGACCTTTTTTCTACTTGGAACTTTGCTGACTTGTTTGCCTGTGCTGTCTTTCTGCTTGGTAAAAACATCTTCTTGTTTGGGCTGGGTTTATCCTTTGCTCTAAACCATAAAAACCCCTTTTAACTAACACACCCTTTGCCTCCTTGGTTATCCAGTAAGACTGGCTCTGCAATTCTTTTCTTCTATATCAAAACTTGCTTCCATCTCTATTCCTTCATCAGACTCTACAGAAAGATTTAAAATCTTTCTGCTAAGCACACATATCCGTGAGACTTTCTTGTCAAACTTTCATCCTTCCCAACAAATAAGGGGCTTTTTCCCCTATGAAGAAAATGGAATCCATGTGATTTATTCTGCTATGAGCCCTCTCACCTCTGGATCTCATTAGCTGTGGCTTTTCCATTGACTCCGTGGTCCTGATTCAAGTGTCTGCGCAGGGCGATTTTAGCAGGGGAGAACCGGGTGTAATCAGGGAGGGCCAGGCTGGTCACCTTGTCTGCCTTCTGCCTGCTGCTGTGGTTGGGGGTGCAGGGCACGATGTCTTGGTCCAGGTGGGAGTTGGGGTACTGGGGGGTGTTCTGCTTGGACGAGGGCCGGCTGAAGGCGTGCTGCAGCTCGTAGGGGGTGGCGTGGCCGTTCATGGACAGCTCGGGGCTCATGCCGTTCATGTGGGGCATGGGGAACTTGGAGCACTCCAGCTCCAGCTGGAACCTGCCCTGCTCAGCCTCAGGGTCACGGCTCAGGTGGCTTTTGCTGTGCAGCTGCACTGGCAGGGGCTCCTCTGAGGGCGTGTAGGACTTGAGCTGCAGCAGCTCCTGCTGCCGCTGACTCTTCTCGAGTTCCACGATGCTGATCTTTAAAGGAAGAGGAAAACAAAAATTTAAAGACTACATTTAAAAATTCTATTGTTAAGTGTATAAATTCTATTATTAGGTGTATAAATTAATCATTATAGTATTAATAATAACAACTAATAATAATAATAATTCTGTTATATACTTTTCTTTGCTTAGCATATTAATACAATAGAACCAATCTATACCAATCTGTATTCAGTGTATGAATTCCATCATTCTATCAAAACTCCACATTATGGAGTTTTGCTTCTAAATTCTTTTAAGTAAAAGTGTCTCTGCATCTGGGAACAAGGCAGAACAGGGGATCCCAAAGTTTGAGAGAAAATTTCAGCTCTGAGCTTAAGACCAAAAGGCCCAGGTGAAGGGAGTGGCTCAGAGACCCTGAGAAAGAATATTCCAGATCTTAAAAACAAAAGGAAAATACCTCCAACTTACAGAGAGAGTGTGGAGTACCTCAGTACTGCACAGTCACTCCATGTCAAGGCATCCAGCAAAAGGCTGGAATAGCCCTGGAGCAAATCTCCCAGGGAAAGAAAAGCTCTTCACACAAAAGAGTTCATTTTCCTGTCACTGTGAGTAATGTCACTCAGGGGGAAATGATTCCCACCCTAACCCTGGAAGTGTCCAAGGCCAGGCTGGACAGGGCTTGGAGTAACCTGGAATGGTGGAAGGTGTCCCTGCCCATGGCAGGGGTGGAATGAGATGAGATTTAAGGTCTCTTCCAAACCAAACCAGTCTGGGATTCTATGACTCCTGAATCGAGACATCAGAGCACACACGAAAATCATCAGCTTGTGATTTTTAATTCTATGTAATGATAAACCATGATTCCTCCTTCCACAGCATCACCAAGGAATCAGGTCATGGTATCTACTGCTTTTACAAGTTATCCACAT